AAGTGTTTAAATGCTAGATTAGGCTTCAGCTGGTTAGGCTTCACAGTGTTTTGTTGTTTTCCCTCCCTGTGAATGATAATAAATATGCACAAAATAGCACTGTCTTTTCAATCACATGAACACTTAGGGTAAAAATGCTTCTCATTATTACAAGAATGGGAAGATTGCAAACTGTGGTCAAACTGCTTGCTTAATTGACAACCTCTGTGATAGCTTGGAGGCAAAAACGATTTCCAAATATGCAAAAAAGTCACACCTTGCCATGTAAGCTAACATAGTCTAAAATTCCACTGAACACTCAAAGAACCAAGTAGAAATTCTGCTCTGTAGCCTGTTTACCAGAGGCTACCTAATAGCACTACAAAACAATCAGCCAAAACCCCTGTAACTTTCATCTTTGGAGAGTCTTGGCTTTGTTGGCCCATTTACTTTCACCAAGTTCCTACCCATGTTTCAGCAATGGTGCAGCAACAGTGCAATGCACTACTACCAGAAAAGGTTTTCATAGCACGGCATTAAACACACCAGAGTCCTGTCTAGACTAGTGATTTGCACTGGTGTTAGCAGAAGTGCAACCGCACCACTGTCGCAATCTGGGTACATATTTTTCTAATGTAGACCAAGACCTAAAAGTGGATTGGTGTATACCAGATTGCAGCAATGGTGCAGTTGCACCTCTGCTAACACCAGTGCAAATCACATCCTCTCTCTCTCAAAAAAAAAACCTTCCTGTGAAAATACCATTACACCAGTGATGAAGAATGGGGGAAATTAGATTTATTTCAGAGTGTTGCATTTTTTGTAAGTTAAAATGCAAGGCACTGATGTCTACAATAATGTTAATGACAAGGGAATGGGTTCTTTTTTCTTTTCTTTTCTTTTTTTCTTTTAGGAGGGGTGAGCAAAGAGCTTTATTTTAAAAATATGACCAATTCAATACAATTATCTTCCCCAACCCGCCCACAAAAAAATGCGAGGGCATATTTGCAAGACTAAGAGAACTGGCTGTTTAACCAATCATGAGAGATTATATTATGCAAGAGTTGTGCCCCATTACCAGGGCCGGCTCTAGGCACCAGTGTCCCAAGCATGTGCTTAAGGCAGCACTTTTCAAGGGGTGGCACTCTGGCTTTGTTTTTTATTTATTTATTTATTTTTTGCTTGAGGCGGCAAAAATCCTGGAGCCGGCCCTGCCCATTGCCATTCAATCCTGTCTTGTATTACAGCAGATTGGAGCCCTATTGTGCCAGACAATGTACAAAAACGCTGTAGGAAACAGTCCTGATTTACAGGTGAGAAACAGGAGAAGAGAGAGATTAAATCCACACACAGCAACTCCACGGCCAAGCCAAGACTCAATCTCTGATTCCCCAGTCCAAGTCCAGAGCCCAAATCATAATGCCATCCCTTCCTCTCTTCTCCCCTGCTCATCTAATTTCAGTCCTGGGTTTCTCCCAGGCCAAGACAGTTCCAGGTCTCTTTCTTTGTCATGGGTGGGTAATGGACATTTTACATTCTGGAGCACTAGCACTACTTGTGCCTCACAAGAAGAGGACTATTGTTGTGGGGGATACCCAAGTAGTCAGAGAGTATCTGTGATGGCCAAATTTCTAACACATATGCTCTGGGAGGCAAAAAAAAAAAAAAAGCCATGGAACCTTTAACGATTACAAGGGGTCAACAGATGGCACCAGCAAGCACCAAACTGAGCCCTGACACTATTTGGAGGAGTGGGAGGGGGCATAAGTTTAATACTGCCTCAGAGGAAATATGCTAAATCATCATCACTTTAGGCAGCATTTGGGAGGAGAGTGGGGGCAGAGAAAGGGAAGGATGTTTCCCATCCTACTATAGAATAGGCAAGAACTTGCTTAGCTCATGAGATATTCAGAGAGTGTAATCTTACATAAACAGAACTATTAAACAAGATACTGAAAATTATTTCTTTCAACTAGCTAAAGAATTATATTTATTTGCATTACATGCCCAATCTTTCTTTGTTAACTTTTCCTTCCTCCTTCATAATATTATAGCTATGACTTTATGACATTTTACTTCACAATTTGCAGGATGCAATTTTTTTTTCTTTTTTTAACAAACTTTCTATTTTCTTTAAGCCTCCCAGGCCACTACTGGAGGAGATTTGTATTCTGTCACTTACATTTTTTGTTTTTAATATAAAAAACTTCAGACTTTGGCAAAGCCATGAGTATGAGTACTGAAAGCATTCTGAAAAGATTTTTTTTTAAATCCATTTATAAAGGTACACTCAAGACAAAAGTAATTAAAATATTTTAACCTATATTACTAACACCATCTTACATTGTAAAAAACAAGTATTTTAAATAAATTTACTTTTCAACTAAGAAAAGTCTCTTTAGGCAGCTTGTTTACTTTCTGCTTTGCACTCAGCTGAAAAATTAAACTAGATTTGCCATTGTTGTTTGCTGACTGGCATACACAAGTACAATGCTGCTACGTTTTGATTCACAGTTCTGTCAAGGAATATTTAAAAGTGCTTCAAAAATGTAAAAACATAGAAAAAATAAGGATTAATTTCTATTTGTCATAAAGTTTGAGATTAAAAGAGAACAAGTATGAGAGAGAGAGAGAGAGAGAGAGAGAGAGAGAGAGAGAGAA